TTCTACGATCTTGCCGACTGCTGGAAGTAAGTTTATCAGCCTGTAGTTTTGCGGATACGTGGTATTCTTTCCTGGCTTTGGAATCATGATAACGTGGGCTTTCTTTCATCGATTTGAGCATTGCTACATTAAATTTACAGTACATGCTACATTAAATTTAAGGTACAGCACAATAAACTAATTAATATTTTAAAAATGAAAAACATCGATAGCCGCGACATCAGAGTAATCTCGAACCTCTACTGGAACCAGAAAGTCAAAATAAGAATTGAAAATCAAATGTCGGAAGAAATAAAAATTCTTCGGGGTGTGAGACAGGGCTGTGTATTATCACCACTGCTGTTTAATATATATAGCGAAGCCATTTTCCAAGAAGCTTTAGGAGAGTGTAACGATGGAATGATAATAAATGGTGAAATTATTAATAATATAAGATATGCCGATGATACTGTCATATTCACTTCAACTCTGCAAAGTCTATCAAACATACTGGAACGGCTGAATGAAAAGTGTACCATATATGGTATTAAAATGAACTTAAAGAAAACAAAATTCATGGTCATTACAAAACATCCAAAAGACAACGAGACACTCCATATTAATAATATCCAGATAGAAAGGGTAGATAAATACAAATATCTAGGAACATTGGTTAGTCAAAACGCAGAACAAACGCAAGAGATTAAAAGCCGTATAGAAATAGCAAGGGCAAAATTTGTAAAAATGAAACATCTATTGTGTAGTAGAGACCTAAGAATGGATCTAAGGATAAGGTTATTGCGCTGCTACATTTTTACAACCTTGCTCTACGGATCTGAGGCATGGACATTGAAACAACTGGAGATTAGGAAATTGGAAGCTTTTGAGCGTTGGTGTTATCGAAGGATGCTACGAATAGCATGGGTAGACAAGGTTACCAATATTGAAGTCCTTGATAGGGTTAATAAGAGGGAAGAAATTATACAGACAATTAAGAGGCGGAAACTTGAATATTTCGGTCATATATTAAGAGGTCCTCGTTATGGGCTACTACGTTTGATTATAGAGGGCAAAATAAAAGGTAAAAGAGATGTAGGAAGAAGACGAACCTCCTGGCTACGAAATCTAAGGGAGTGGTTTGGTCTGAGCTCTGGCCAACTATTTAGAGCTGCTGTAAGTAAAGTAAGAATTGCCATGTTGATATCCAACCTTCGTTAGAAGATGGAACCTTAAGAAGAAGAAGAACATTAAATTTGACCCAATAGTTTATGCAAAATTAACGATTGAAGATCAAAAAATGTCAATTTTTAGCCATTTTTTATTTTTGAAATAACTCATAAAAATTCTTTTTTTATGCAAAAAGCATTGTAGTTTTTTTAATTACAAATCGAATAAGAATTTCGAGGTAAGTTTATAAAAATTCTTAATGTTTGTAAATTTTGCAGGGCCAGAACCTTTTTTTTAAGTTATAGGTCTAATTCTAAACGGATTCTCTTCTTGATCGATTATATTTTTATGTAGAAATAAAAATATTTGCTTAAAAAAAGTTTCAACCCCTTATTTATTGCTTTGAAGTAGGGTCAACTTTTGCGTCATAAATTAGTTAAGCTACAGCGCTCCCTATACATTACACGCATATTTAGCTTATTGATTCTTGTAGCTGAAGTTAAGACAAGGATTTAAAAAACATCTACACATGAGTGGAGAAATTTCATGGCGAAAAAACGAAAAGTTTTCTAATCCATTTTTCTAGAAAACGGTGTATCCTACCGACTTAAAGTAAGAGTACCTTTTAGTACAAGAATACCTGAAAATTTAACAATCTAGTACCACGAATGCTCAAAAGTTGAAGACAAAAAACATGCGTTAAAATAACTGTTGACCTACCCAAAACGAATGCCTATGACCGGTACTAGACATTCGCAATTGATGGAATCTATTTAACTCTGGAGGATCAATAATCGTACCAGTATTCGTTTTTCTAAATATAAGCGTTTTGGAGGTATTTAAAAAAAACTAATTACAACGCGCCATCTTCAAAGAGCTCTAGCTCCCTTAGAAAGACTTTAAACGTCTTAAAATTATCTGAGGAATCTCCGGTCTTCGTTTGTCAGAAGAGTTTCTGGACACACTACGATATTTCGAATTAAAAGGTACTCGATGATTAAAAAAAAATTGCTTTTTGTAATTCTATTTTATTTTTCTACATAGTTTTCTGAATTGAATGTTATATTACAGTTGATAAACAGAAAAGTCTTTATTAAAAAAATGAAAGTGCTGCACAAATTAAATATTGGCTCTTCACCTAATACTCTGTATGGACTAAAAGCTATTAATATCATGGGAATAAATCACTAAAAAAACAACAACTATTAGAAAAATGTGTAAGTAGTTAAAACAAAAATGTACGAAAAATGCTTAGGTTTATAAAAAATGAGAAGGAAAAATAAATCAAACTTTTAGTAGTTTGTGAGCTCTACTGAAAAGTCCATTTTTTTAACTTTCTTCTTCTTACGGTGCCTTATCCTTAAGGACGTTGGCCCTTACATTTGCCCATTTAATCTTATTTGTAGCAGCCCTGAATAGTTCTATGGAGGTCATGTTCGTCCATTGCCGTAGGTTTTTAAGCCAGGAGTTGCGTCTTCTTCCTGGTCCTCTTTTGCTATTGACTTTGCCTTCGATTATAAGTTGGAGCAGTTCATACTTCTGATTTCTTATGATGTGACCAAAATATTGTGTTTTCCGTTCTTTTATTATAAGCATAAGCTCTCTTTCCTTATTCATCCTCCGCAAGACTTCCGCATTTGTCGTATGGCTCATGTAGGATATTATGAGCATTTTACGGTAACACCAGAGTTCGAATGCTTGGATTCTTTTTTGTGTTGCTTCTGTCATTGTCCAGGCTTCAACACCATAGAGCAAGGTGGAGAAAACATAGCACTTAAGTATTCTAGTTCTCAATGAGATGCCCAGCTAGCGGTTGCATAGAACTTTTTGCATTTTGTAAAACATTGTACGTGTCTTTTCCAGGCGTATTCTTATCTCTAGTGAGTGGTCCCAAGTTTCATCAAGATTACTTCCAAGGTACGTTGTTCTTGTTACTCTTTCCAAGTCTGTTCCGTCGACATTGACCTTCACACCCTTCTGTTTTGGTGCTTGCTGATGACCATCGTTTTTGTCTTCTTTGTATTCAATTTCATTCCAAATTCTCTACAGGCTGTCGTTACTCGGTCCATTAAGCGTTGCAGGGCTTCAGCATTATCTGCCAGTATGACAGTGTCATCAGCATATCGCAGGTTATTTATACATTGCCCGTTTATAATTATACCATCCGAGGTACCTTCCAAAGCTTTCTGAAATATCTTCTCAGAGTAAACATTGCACAGCAAAGGTGATAGGACACATCCCTGTCTTACTCCCTTCTCGATATTGATTTTTCCAGATGTTTCGCTTTTTATTCTGATTTTAGCCTTTTGTTCTTGGTAGATGTTTGAAATGATCCTTAAGTCGTTATCGTCGATATTACATGACCTTAAAATATCTATTAGTTTATCATGTTTCACCAGGTCAAACGCCTTCTGAAAGTCTATTAAACACAAGTATACATCAGAATCGACATCTCTACATCTTTCAACTAGCACACGTATTGAAAAAAGTGCTTCTCTTGTTCCGAACCCATTCTCAAAACCAAACTTGAGTTTGACCAGTGTGTTCGTCTAGTTTATTGTATACTCTATTGTGTATTACTCGTAGGAAAAGCTTCAACATATGATTCATCAGGCTAATAATCCTATGGTCTTCACATTTCTTGGAGTTTCTCTTCTTTGGTAGTGGTATAAACACCGATGTCAGTCAATCATTTGGTAATATGCCTGTGTCGTATATTTTGTTAAATATATCTTCCATTACTTCGAGGTGTTCGTCTAGTAATATCTTTATTATTTCAATTGGGATATTATCTTCCCCAACAGCTTTTGCGTTCTTTAACTGATTTGCCGCTTTGATAATTTCTTGCTTTGTGATATAAGGTCCAGTCGATGCCTCCTGCATGTAAATGTTCGTCCTCTCTCGGTCTTGAAACATCTCTTCCACGTATTCTCTCCATCTACCTATTTGATCTTCTATGTTCAGTAGCGGGTTCCCATGTTTATCTTCGATGAAAGACGTAGGAGTTTGTTTAAATATTCCAGCGGCTTCTTTTACTTTTTTATGTAGATTGAAAGTATCATGTCTTTGTTCCAACTCTTCAATTTCTTGGCATCTTTCACTTAGCCAGGTTTCTTTGGCTTGTTGGATCTTTATTCTGATATTCTTGTGTATTTGCTTGTATGTTGTTTCATTTTTACCTCTGTATTTTCTTCTTTCGTCCATCATGTTTAGAATTTCTTCTGTCATCCATGGTTTGTTCTTTTTTCGTGTATCTTGTTTGAGGTAGTCTTCTGTTACTCTTGTAAGTGTTCTCTCAATATAGTGCCATTCTTCCTCGGGAGTTTGTGTCGATTGTACTGTTCTGTTACTCAAGTGTCTATGTATTTCTTCCCGTATTTTATTACTAGTGGATTCTTCTTTAAGCTTATCTAGGTTAATAGCTATTATTTGCTTATTTCTTTTTGTTCTTTTAAATTCTATCCTAATTGTTGCAAGAAGAAGATTGTGATCGGTGGGGATGTCAGCTCCGGGGTATGTCTTGCATGCTTTTACTGCGTTTTTGTATCTTTTGTTGACCATTATGTAATCGATTTGAGTGATTTTTAACTTTAGGAACATGTAAATAAAAAACTATTTGAGATCACGACTTGTTTTTTTTTTACATTGTGCATTATATAAACAACATTCTGAACCAGAATTAGATTGAAAAAATATGTTGATTTTAAATAACAAATAAAAATGTAAGAACGTGAAAAAAATTATTTTTTTTTTTAATAAAAAAATAAAAAATTGTGATCTAATCGTCTGTTTGTTTTTTTAATATATTGTAAATAAAGTAGGATGAAAAAATATATATTTCTTTAATATTTTAGTTGTGGCCATATACGACTATTATGCAGATAAGGACGACGAGCTGAGTTTCCAAGAGAGCGCAGTCATCTACGTCTTGAAGAAAAACGACGATGGATGGTGGGAAGGAGTTATGGAGGGCATAACAGGACTCTTTCCGGGAAATTACGTGGAACCGTGCGTTTAGACTGCTAATACGCTTCTTTTGTAATAGACAATATGTGTAATTTTTGTAGGTATATACATTTATAAGCCAATTTTTATCTGCCTTATTATAATTTTCTTTCATGTAAAATCAAGATGGTTGGTTATATGTGTATAAGTTGGACAGGGTTTTTGTGCATATTTCAGGACTTTTCGTAAATGTGCATAAATATCGTACAATAAAACAAGTGAAACAAAAAACTTAAGCTACGAGTAGACAGTTGTTAAGTTCATAAAAATAAAGTAAGGCATAATATTGATATTTCACCACATTTTAAAAAATGGTTTCTATTTGGCGTAAATATATCATACGTTTGTTCGTCATCTTCCTCAAGGTCGTAAATGTCAGTATGTTAAAAAATTCTTCCAAAACTAGTGGATCTTTGCACTCAATGTAGATAACAAGTCATAATTAATATATTTATTCTTTTGGAGAAGATACAGCATAGGTATATTACATTCCAAGAAATCCTGAAATAATGCTAACATTTTTCAATAAAAGTTGTTTTAAGTCATGCATGTTACAGTGAACCATTATCTAGTGGATGCACACTGTGTACAAATTGGACACACATCCTTTTATCTTATATATTGTCAAATAAATTCTTTAATTTACATTTTACCCTTTAGATTGGAAGTGGTTTTTAAAGAACATTTTTTACCAGACATCGAAGGCAAAACGGTTAAAGAGTTTATTGTTTCATTATGCTGTATTTTCAAACGATATCGTTACCAAACGCGTCACAAGGCGACAGTTTCAGACTGCACTCAATATAGCAGTATTTCATGACGTTGTTAGTTAGATGTAATGAAATAAAAATAAATATTTTTGCAGCCTTTCCATATGAAAAATTTCTAATTTACACCGTAGAAGTATGTTCCTAGAACTTTTTTGGTATAACTGTATGCTCGAACTAAATAGTATATTTTAGCAAAATATCTAAGTGACTTATTAATATTCAACTCAGTTTGATGGTATTGTTAGAGGTGTGAAATTACATAAACAATGGATCATTTCATAAAACAGGTAGATCCCTTGTTTATAAAATTTGACACCTCGGAACAATGAGCATAACCCACTGAGCTGAATATTAATGACTCTCTTAGATATCTTGTTAGACTATAAAGATGTGTACTATTTTGGTAGATAAATATCTGTCCTTTTTATATTAACCATCATCTATAACGAATTTATTTAATAATTAATAGTATAAAACTGTAGGTAGTATATTGAATTCCAGTTGTAGAGGTGTAACTGTATTGTTCTATTTATTCACTCTTTATAACCAATATACACACTGTGGATAGGAGAAATGATTAAAAAATGAAAAAGAAAATCAAGACTTGTTGTTTTTAGGGTTCCAAATGTTTTACTAGAACTTCCGTTAGTTTATATTTTTGTTATTTCGTTCTGCCATTGTTTTGGATTTCCTCGTTAGTATTTAGTATTCAATTATAAATTCTTTTTAAATACGCGGATATTTCGATGTTTTAAAATTGATATATTTAATGTAATCACATTGTATTCTTGATTGAAAGCTTAGTAATACATTAACAAGATGGAACGAAACTTCAACAAGAAAACAACCACCACTATTGGTTTTAAGAGAAAAATGTAAATGTAGTCAAAAATATTCTATATTTTTAACCATTCATCATGTTTTTAACGGTTATTTCTCAAATCAGTGTGTGTATGGAGTATGAATATTTTGCACATATTATACATAATATTATTGATTTATCAATCATATAGGAAATTTTATTTGAGCTTAGATAGCAATTATAAAATATTTTATTTATAATATTAAATAAAAAAAAATAGTTTTCGTTTTTCTTCCAATTAATCTCCTTGCAGAAAAACTGATGCCATTATTATAACTCTTTTCATTTTGAACTGTCTGTAAGTATTAAAAAGAACAGTTAATATATCAACATAATAATCAGATTCGTAGTTAAATATTATTAGTAATGTTGCCTTTATCATCCTAAAGTGGAGGACTGTAGAAAAGTGAAGTTTAAAACGAATATTTGGTTTTAGAAGGTTCTGTTCAAAAATGACCCTCTAATAGAAAAAGCTAAAATGAATAAAAAATAGAAGTAGTCCTAAATTTCATACTTGTACAAGTACTATGGCCCATCTCGAATATTGAGGCTAGAGCTTGTGGATTTTTTAAACGGCTATAACCTTGAAAGTATCTGCGCATCGACTTGTCAAAAATTATTAAAATTAAAAAGGAAAACATTGCCTCATCTTATTCCATTAATCAACTGGAATAGTCCAGTCAAAGTTCACACGTTGCGGAATAATGTAACATCTCCAAAAAGTAGTATTTAGACAATTGAAGGTTAAAGATTTTGTTGTTCTAGTTAAGGTGTATAATAGTTACTGTTATTGATTTTTAGCGGAATTTTATTTTAAAGTCTCAATTATTCTTTTCTTGGTTTGCTAATGACTATTAGTTAATTGTCTTTTAATTAAAAATGTTAAATGTGACAGATTTATTTCAAATTTCGTAGTTGTTACCGTATTCTCTGAATGAATTTATTTTGTTTTTGGGGTATTATCGTGTTTCTAAGACGATTCTATTTTATTTTTAAGTTATCACGCGCATCGATCAAATAATAATAGTCATTTCTGTCATTGAATGATGTAATAAAACGAGAACAAATTAACGATATTTTTAAAAAATGAATTTATTTTTGATAAAAGTAAACAAATAAACAAAACAGAAAAACTATTCTTCTTCTTCTTCGCTTGCCATATCAGAATTATCAGATCACGAGTCTATTCACGAATGTTTTTTAACCAAGAAACTTGTTTTCTTCCTACCCCTCTACGGCCCTCTATTTTGTCTTTAAGTATTAGTTGTAATATTTTATATCGACTTCCCCTTACTATATGTCCCAGATAAGTCATTATTCGATGTTTAACAGTCTTCAGCAGTTCTATATCTTTGTTGACGCTCCTTAGTACTTCTTCATTAGTTTTCCTTGCTGTCCAAGGTATCTTCAGCATTCGTCTATGAACCCACATTTCCAATTTCCAATGCTTCAATTTTGTTCATGATCGATACTTTTAGCGTCCACACTTCTGCACTATACAAAAGTACGGACCAAACATATCACTTAACCATTCTTTGCTTTAGTTCTAAACTGAGATGAATATTGCAAAGAAATGACTTCATTTTCATAAAAGTAGTTTTAGTCATTGCTATTCTACGTTTTATTTCTATATGTGGATATAGTTGGTCCGTTATCACAGTTCCCAAATATGTAATTTTGTGAACTTTCTCAACGACTCCGTTTAATTGAAGCTTTGCACCGGGATGTGGGTCACGACTAAATACTAAAAATTTGGTTTTGTTTGAGTTTATTTTAATGCCCATTTCCTCTCCTACCTCGTGAATACGATCAAGCAGAATTTGAAGACCTTCAATATTATCTGATAGAATTACTGTATCGTCTTCATGTCTAATCACATTAAGTAGTTCCCCGTTGATTTTTATTCCATATGGCTGTCTCTCCAGTGCCTTTTTAAATAACTGGTTCGAGTAAACATTGAACAATGTTGGCGACAAAATGCAACCTTTTCTGACTCCTCGTTGTATAGAGATTTTATCGGCGTAATTATCTCCAATTTTTACGATAGCAGTTTGATTCCAGTACAAATTTTTAATGACACGAATATCCTTGTCATCTTTTCTAATATTTTTCAGTATTTGTTTTAATTTTACATGCTGTACTTTATCGAATGCCTTTCCGAAGTCCACGAAACATGCAAATACATATTTTCTTTGGTCACGGCATTTTTGTAATAGGATGTTAAGCGTGCCTAATTCTGTTAGGCTAATTAATCGATATTCTGAGCATTTTCTCGCATTGTGTTTTTTAGGTATTGCGACAAAGATGGATTTGAGCCAATCTGCGGGAATCACTCCGGTGTTATATATTGAATTAAAAAGTCTTACTCCTACTTTTATGTTATCATTCTCTATTAGTTTCAGCAACTCGGTGGTGTATCATCTGGACCACAAGCTTTTCTAATTTTAGCATTATTTATAGCGTGTTCTACCTTGCATTGCATAATTTCTGGGCCGTCAGTACAGTTTTGGTAGAAAAACTATTATGAATATAAATTGAGGAACAAAAACAACAGTAATATTCTAAAAAATGGCAACACAAAATTTTTTCATACCTTTTAACAAGTAACTTTAGTCTTGTAACGAGTAATTTAAATAAAAACTTAAGGTTCAAAAATAGCACATTTCTAAAAATAGCGTTAGAGTCTTGAAAATCATCACAAATTTTGTCCTATACCCTAAGACTATTATAAAATTAGTAGTGGGTCTTTTAACGTAGTTATGGTACACCAAGTACATGAGATCTTTTTTTTTTTCGTTTGGACCTATGGGCACATTATACGCTTTCTTTACGGTCTAATTTTTTTATTCCTTTCCTGTACGGACAAAGTAATTGCCGATAATCTTGTATTTTTTTGGGTTGGTTTTTAAATGTATCTAGTTCTTCAAAGTCATCAGCGAGTTATCCTTCGATTAATTCACGTTCAGTTTGCCCCCTAAGGTATTGTGACGGTATTCTTGGAGTAGAATTTATGTGGGCGCGAATATCTTCGAAGACTCACACAAAAAAAAACCGTTTGCACACACGAATGTCCTTTCCGTTTATTTTAAAATAATATACGACATTTCCGAGTCTTGTTTTATTTAAGAGAAGCGGTTGAATGTCTTTAATGTGACCCAATATTTTTGGAAAAGTTTACATTGCATTTATGAATGCATTTTGTATATCTTGCTCCCAGTTTTCTTGAAGAAACAAGTTTTTTTGTAGACCTGATTTTGTTGATTTCCAATTTTCAGGGTTCGCTCGTCGTTTTCTTGTTTTTTTTACGGAGACATATTTTCCATTTCCTTCATCTGTAATCAAAATCATGTACGAAATCAGAATAAATATTATATTATAGTTCGTCATCACCGCTATGTGAAAAATCCGGATCTGCATCGCTGTCATCAACCGGTGATGTAGAATTTCTTCGACTCGTGGTGCTGCTAGATGAAGAGCAGGAGG